TCTTTCATCTACAGTTGTGCATTAGTTCAGGTCCTCCAAGAGGCAGATACCAAGATGATATTAGATGTACAAGAATTTTATTAGGGAAACTGCCTGGGTGAGAGAAAATGGGGGGCGGCAGGGAGCCAGAAAAGACTTGGAAAGCATCAGACTGAAATGAGAATGAAGGAGAGAAGAAAGGTATGCTGTGTCGAAATGTCCTAGACCACAGTGCAGTCTAAGGAAAGTTCAACTAGACTGACAAGAGTACTTGAGTCAAAGCTGGCTGTTGGACCCTGGGAATGGACCTGCCTCAATTTCCCTGGCATACTCATTGAGTCATGATTAGCTGGGAGCTGCCCTGGGGAAGCATGGCTTGGGTCAAGATCAACTGTGGATTTAGCGGGATTTCAGAGCCCAGCAGTGGGGATCCTTGGTCAATTCCACTTCCATAGATAGGGGCATGAGTAGTCTCATGGCAACCAAAGATCGTTTCTTCTCCCTTTATTTTTTGGGTGTGTTCGTTTTTTGTGGGAGAGGGTATATTCTTTAAAGAAAAATATTTTAGTGGTGTTTAGGAAAGGAAAGGAAATGGCTACATTTCAACGTTCCTTTGTTTTCAAAATAAATTAAAATATTTAATAAATATTTAAATTAATTTATTTACTAGATAAATTAAATGTTTAATAACTATTTAAATAAGTTATTTTATTTAAAATAATTTTCCTCCAACATTTCTGTAATATGTTTATACTTTATAAAAAAGTTTAAAAGAGGAGAAGGTGATCAGAGTGTCAGGTAGAAAGTGGGGGGAAGATGGAGGCTGAGAAAGCTTGTGTGAATTGCTAATTAAGAGGTTGGTTATTGGTGAACTTATTGCTGATTCCACCGTTATGGGTTGAAAGCCAGCTTGAAAGAGACTGAGTAGATATAAGAGTGAGTAGGTATAGACCAGTCTGCCAAGAAGTCTGGTAGTAAAGGGAGAACAAGGAAGACAACATTAACCTAGGGGTGTGCTTGGTATTTTGAAACATATTTCAAAGGAAAGCATCTTTTTTTGGGCTAGGAAGTTTTGTTAGTGGACATAAAAAAGAGCCAGAATGGAGGGAAAGATTGAGTATGCAAACAAGAAAGGACATGATTGTAAGAACATGGCCTAAGAGGAAGCAGAAGAGGAAATGGGATCACGAATGCATGCGAAGAGCTAGTTCAAAAAGCAGGAGGGCCATCTCTCCTTCAAAGATAAGAGAAATAAGATGCAGACCTAAAGATGCGTCAGTGGTGTATCAGCATATCTCTTAGCTGCATGAAGCAGAAAATTGACTATTGTGGCTTGAATAAGTAGGGGTCTAGGAGGTAGGCAGTCTAGCATTGATATAACAGCAGTGAGATACTGCCAAGGATTCAAGATGCTTCCATCTTTTCATTCTATCATGTTCCATGAAGGAATGAATGAATGAGCAAAATAATGGAAGAGAACTATCATACCTCCATTGAGACTTTTTTCTTTCAGTGAAAAACAATGTGAATGATCAAACTGTAGCAAGTTGGTTAAATAATCTAGTGTGTTAACAATTTGAATATCACATTGCTTTTTCAAAATATGTGAATGCAGTAGAGATGTGAAAAAATACAGATTATGTGATATTGAGTGAAATAAAACCTTAAAATAATATGGGCATGTTTATTGCAATTATGAAAAATTTATATCTTACAATATTAAGGCGAGGAGAGACCACTGTATCTTGATTCTCCTTTAGGGTTTGTGTTAAGGAGGGCTGGACTTTTTCTTTTTTCATGATTCTGTTTATAGTTCACTATAAAGTGTTAAAATATATAATTACAAAATTTAAAAGCCCATATGGAACTTTCTTTGAGCTCCTCTAGAAGAAAGATACTCTAAAATGCAAGTATGGCCATCAAAATATCATTGCATTGTACACACACACACACACACACACACACACGGCTAGTCACTACATTCTAATAACTAACGAGCTTCCAACTGGAATATTGGTGTGGTTCATGAAGGCCCGTTTGCCAAATCTCTCTCCACCTCCTTCACAGGCCTGAGATTCTTTTTCTGGGGAGCAATGCTTTTCTTTGTTCGAGGAGAGGCATCATGATCTTCACACTACATGGAAATGATTATGTCTTTCTAAATGAAGAATTTTAATATATGCGAAGGACAAAGGGTGCAGGAAGGAGAGGCTGGGTACACTTGAAATCTAGCCCCTTCTTACTCATGCTGAAGTTAAATCAAGATTCTCAATTCAAATGATCTTCCATCCCTCACTTCTGAATCCTCTCCCTTTTATTGGTGCAAGGAATTACAGGGCTGGGCATAGTCTTCTGTTTACCCCCTTACCCTCCATCAGTGACTTTAAATCATTCCAGTAAAGTAAGTATCTTCTATTTTTAAGCACTAGAAGAGGATGTTCTTCAATATCCCTCACTCATACATTCTTTGCCTGACAAGACTCACCCCAGAAATAATTCTTTAAGCCAAACTTCCTAAATTCCTCACTTGCAATGTTACAGCTTGTTTCTTGTTGGATTGCCATCAGAGATTAAGAATTCTTAATCACATCCCTTCAGAACTTTTATCTGGAAGATCTAACATGGTGAGGGATTATCTGACCCTCCTTTACTGGTGAGACTCAGAAGTCTAACAGTGTGCTCAGACACCTAGTAGTAACTCAGAGGCTGATGGATACTCCTTGTAGGTTTTGGTTTCCACATCTGAAAAATAAGGAGAGCAATATCTACCCCCTCGTCCTCACATGGACTTTGTAAAAACCCAGTAAGATAATATGACTAAAAGTACTCTGGGAAATATAAACAAATTCAAGTTATTATTTGAATACTTCTCTCTTTTTCCTTTGAGTTTTGCTTTGCCACAGTTTCATCCTCCTTTTCTACAGCACTGGCTTTGCTGTAGAAGAGGAGTGGCATGGCATTTCGTCAGGAGCCACACAGCCCTCCAGCACCCTCCCTCTGCATCTAGCTTGCAGCTCTGTTCCATCCTCAGCACTAATTGTTAGGTTTGAATTAATATCCTGGCTTACATGAGCTCAGGTTACTCTCTTCCTTTACGTCCTGGTAACCTGCTAAATCCCTGCATACACATTGTTCTCAACTGGGGGCATTTCTCTCTCTTTTTCTACTGACAAGGGGATATTTGGCAGTGTCTGGAGTCATCTTTGGTCATCACTGCTGGTGGGTAGTGCTACTGGCATATAGTGGGTAGAGCCAGGGATGCTGCCAAACGTCCTAAGATACACAGGACAGCTCCCCTCCTACAACAAAGAATTATCTGGTCTAAAATGTCAGTAGTGCTGTGGTTGAGAAGCTCTGCTATAGATAAAATTCAATGAAGTCCATATTCTTCTCCCTTCCCCTTCCTTCCTCTTCTCCTCTCCTCTCCTTTCCTTTCCTTCCTTCTTTCAACAGCTTTATCAGATATAAAGGTATAATTGATATATAATGACCTGTACATACTAAAAATGTACAGTTTGATGTTTTTTGACATCTCTACATGTAAAACCATCACTATAATCAAGAAAATGAATCTATCCATCACTCCCAAAAGATTCCTCCTGCCCTTTTGTAATTCTGCTCTCCTTGGGCCACCCATCTCAGCTTCCTAGCCCCAATCAACCACTGATTTGCTTTCTCTCACTTGAGATTAGTTTGCATAGTCTAGAATTTTATCTAATTTGAATAATACATTATGCACTTTTTTTTCTGGCTTCTTTCACTCAGCATAATTATTTTAAGATTAATCTATGTCATTGCTGAGCTACTTATTCTTGAGGAAAGATAAGCTTATGGTTAAGAACAAAGGGTTATGACTTCTAGGTTTTTGGGTCATTACTAGACACTCTTTTGATGATTTTACTTCTTGGATGGATGCCTCACTTAGCCGTTCCTTCCCCTGCCCCCACAATCACTTTTCCTTATCACAGTCCTTTAATACCTGGCCAGTGAACTACCTCAGTGGTCTTCTAATAAGAGACTTCTGTCTCTAATTTCTACTCCCCTTAACTTACAAAACTTCATTCCCCGCCTTTCTTTTCCCCACAAAGAGAATCTCAAAGAGCTAATTTGTGGGACACCAGTTTGGGAAATGGTGCCCTGACATAGCTGTTTTGTTTTTAAAACTCTGCATTTCAGACCTAATCCATGTGCAGTATACACACACACACACAGAGAAATAAATCTTGAGACATCATCTCTAATCAGCATAGCTTACCTGGTTTTTGCCTACTTTGGTGCTAAGAATCTTTCCTGGAATTATATCTAGTTAAGGTATCCCCATTTAGTAATAGGAAGAATTCTTTAACCAGGGACTTTGAAGACCATAAAAAATAGTCAACGATAATTAAACCCACACATTATTATGAGAAGTATGTTGATTTTACTACATTGTTAGCCTAGACATACTTCTATACAGCAACGACATATGGTTTTGAAGTGGAATTCTTGAATAAATCTCAAGTTGCTCCTTTCAAGATAACTGAGAAAATCTTGATTCCTAAGAAAACAGTCCTCTTTATCATCTGTTCCACAGTTTTCTTTCCCATTTATCTTCATTATATAGGATATGGCTCATTCTTTTCTCTTCCCACACAGTCTTCTGTGGGGTTGGTCATTTCTTTATATTAATGCTTGTATCACTTTTCTTCAGTCAGTTCTTGGTATTTGTATCTGCAAATGATCCAGGTTCACTTTAAGCATCAAATATAATTAATATTGCTGAGGATGTTTTGCTCTCCTCCCGGCAGCTTGTTACCTTGAATGCTCTCTTCTGTTTGTGACAGGCATTAGTTGTTTTGCCTACCCAGTATCTCTTCATTTGGTAATAGTACTGTGTTCTTTTTGGGTTTGGGAGGACGCTATGTCCCCTCTTTAATGTGTTTAGTTAACCTAGCAAGATTTCAGAGAGGGGGTGAATGGTGAACCTAGGGAGTCCTGACCTTAGGCCCCTGTGCTCCCAATGGTATTTTTTTTTTAATCAGCAGAGAGATACCAGGGTTCATCATGGGCAGCAATGACTACGATGGACAAGAAGATAGAGGCCCTAACCCTAATTTTCGGAGCACCATGGAAGCCCCCTGGATTCTAGGGAGACCTTGAGGAGAAAGAAGACTCCTGTAAATGCCTGACATTGAAATTCTTGCAAGTCTAGGAGCCTGTGAACTCAAAATGGAAATTAATTTGATTTAATGAAAATAAAGAAGGAGAATTGTTTTGGCATATCCGAGTTTGTAGACTGAGATTCATAATGCTGGAGGCACTTAAAAATTATCATCCATAGATTAATGAGTTTACTGGGTGCCAACTCTACTCCGAACATTAGCAAGACTTTCTGTGGGTAAAGCAAAGGCTTATATGGCCCTGCCTCAGTCTTCTGAGAACACGTAGCCTACTTGGAGACAGAAGATTCAAATAGGTAGGAGGAGGTTAATTCCTTACAAGAGGTAATCCATCAGGGTCTGATAACAAGTTAAGAGCTACCACCTGTACCTAATTGGTAAATGAGCAGCGAGTTCAACTGCTATCATATTAAAGGGAATTGAGAGAAAAAAGGAAAAACAATAAGAATTTTATGTCTTTTGTTTTACCAAGAGTGAGTTTGCAGGGCTGATTTTTTTTTAAATTATTATTTTTTTTTTTTTGAGAAGGAGTCTCACTCTGTTGCACAGGCTGGAGTGCAGTGGCATGATCTGGCCTCGCTGCAAGCTCCGCCTCCAGGGTTCACACCATTCTCCTGTGTCAGCCTCCTGAGTAGCTGGGACTACAGGCACCGACCACCATGCCTGGCTAATTTTTTGTATTTTTAGTAGAGAGGGGGTTTTGCCGTGTTAGCCAGGATGGTCTCGATCTCCTTACCTCAAGTGATCCGCCCGCCTCGGCCTCCCAAAGTGCTGGGATTACAGGTGTGAGCCACTGGCTGTTTTAAGGAAAGGAGCAGTTTATTTCTGCAGCTCACCATTTCCCAGGGAGCCCATGCCTTGTGAGCCTGTTGTTTCAAGAGTCCCCCATCCAGAGTAGGGAGTCAGGCCACTGGAGCAGCCTGCAGAAATCAGGCACGTCGGTAATGTGCTCAAAGATGTTTTGTGCTCGCCTTTTCCCCTGTCTTCCCAAATACGCAGCACTTGTCCAGGTCAATGTCAGAGGAGCTTATGTTCCTGTTAAGCAATAAGACCCAGCAGGCAGGGAATTGCTGTGGAATTAGGGGAACTCAGAGTGACTTTGTATGTCAGGGACATGAGCCTCTGCTTCCATGCCAGGATCCAGCACAAGGTTGTTTGAAAGCCTTGCTTCAAAAAAAAAAAAACTCAAGATATGCCCAACTTGGAGCTCTCGGCTCTGATGTAGGCAAAGTGAAGAGATCAGATCAAGTCCCTTAGTTCCTTAGAGATCTAGGCTGTGAAACTGGGTGACTAGGGAAGGGATTTGAGTCATGATAGTGTGGAGTTAGTCTTAGGGCGTTCTTGGACAAGACATGACATCTTTTTGGAGCTTGGTTTTACTGTCTTAGTTTTACGGTAAAATAACTACAAGAATATGGGCAGAGCTTTAATCAAAACCAAACACGAACATCTAAATATCCTACATTAATACATTAAGGAGTGGTCATTTGCTTTACAATGATAGGATTGCCCCCTTTATAAGAATTCATGGTAATATCCATTTATGGGGCAGTTGAACTTTCATTTGAAAATGTAATTTGGTTTGCAGAATGTGATTGTGTTTTCAGCTTTTAAGAAAAATATCAGTTGTAAAAAGGGAGTTCTGCATGTCTTCTTGCTCTATTCCCCTTTAACCCCTCCATGCACCCTCTCCTTCTCATGAAAATTGTGAAGATAATGTCTACATGGTGCATAACAGATGTTTAAGATCCGAGCTAAAAATCCAAATTGATGATAAGCTCATCATCAAAGATGTACTGGGGCTTATTCTCCAGTGGCTTCTGGATTGGGAGGGGAGAGACCTGGGATCTGGTCCAAACTTTGCCACAAAATAGCTTTGTTCCTTTGGGTAAATCTTAGAATTGTAGAAGCTTTGATTGGAATAAAATTAGGGATCGTCTTGTCCAACCTTCTTTTGATGAAAGCATTTCATCTACAGCATCCCCAACTGAAGAGTATCTAGTCTCTTCATGTTCTGGGCCTAAGTGTGTTCATCCAATGAGAGGGACTGATCTCCAGTTGAATCAGGGCTGAAAATGAGGCAAGGAGAGTCAAGAAACTGGAGTCCAGGACTCTGAAGACTAAATGTAATGATATCACAGTTTGTCAAGTGGCCAAGCCCTAGGTATAGGGTCTAAGGAAGACTCTCTGGGGAACAAAACGCTATACATACCTTCCCTCTTCACAGGTCCATCCTCCTCTGGTCAATAGATGGGGAAGAGTTCTGAGACTTAGACACTTAACAATTTGACCTGAAGCTGCTTACAGCTCTACCTCAGCATTTCTAGAGAAAGACAAAGTCAGGATGTCAAGTGATTTCTCTTCATATTTGAGCTGAACATTATTGCAAGGTTGTGCAGCCTCAGCTGGCCTCTTCCCCTTTTCTTCACATCCTACCTCCTCCTTCCACCCTCCCACCCCTACTTCCAGCTTTTTTACAGCATGCAAACTGCAAACCTCAAGGGCATGCAGTTGAGTCTGGCTGAAATCTGCTAAGTATTTGCAGGGTTTATCTGAGGAAGAACCCTTGGATCATTGTCATGGCAATTTTGATAATCCTGACAACATGCAGATGTGGCTGTTCAGGGCAATCTGAGAATGCCTCCCACTTTCTAGCCTCAGCATTGCTTGGGGCAAATGGGGCTTACTTGCTTACTCTTCTTTTTTTTTTGTATTTTTGTGCAAATAAAATTAAAAAGAGTTCACAAAATTTCAGTTATAAAAATCCTGTGCCAAATAAGTTTTATCAAAAACTTCATCTGGAGTTAGAAAAAGATTCTAAGAGGGTTGGATGTGTCACCAGTGGACTGAACCAGTAGTCCATTTCTGCATAATGCTTATTTGTTCTCTGTTAACATGTCTATTCACCCTCTCCAATACCACCCACCCGCCTACTCCACTCAGATCCAGAAAATGAACTCAAGGCTAGGGATCTTTTTCAGTCATTTCTTGATGCTTCCAGTGTCCAGCACTGTGCCAAGGAATTCAGTAATGTTTGCTGGAGAAATGATGAGGTGGGCATAAGATAGCAGAGAGATTTGCAAGGTGACACCTGATAAACATAGATTAAATAAAGGTAGGGATTGGTGGTGTGAAGAGACAGGGGCTTCTAGGCTTTGAGTGTTAGCCAAATCTCTTGAGCATGGAATTGGTGCCATAGAGATCAATTCCAATAAAAATATACCTGATGTCAAAATGTGTGGAGAACTAGACTTGGAGAGAGCTTAGAGGCAGGGAGACCAGCAAAGAGCATGAACCTGTTTCCTCGAAAAAGTACAGAATGGAGAAGAAAGTGCTAGGGGAGCCTAAAAGAGATGTGTTATTGCAGGTCCATTTATCTGCCCAGGAGCACAGCCAGGAAAGATTCAAATGCCTAAAGAGTTGGGCACCAACTTGTACCTGAATGTTCACAGGAGCATTATTTATAATAGCTAAAAGTGGAAACAACTCAAATATCTATCAACTGACAAATGGATGAACAGTATGTAGTATATCCATGTAATGGAACATCATTTTTCAATAAAAAGGAATGAAGTACTGATACATGCTCCAGCATAGATGAACCTTTAAAACATTATGCTAAACGGGAGAAGCTAGTTGCAAAAGGACATATGTTGAATTTTTCTATTTTTGTGAAGTGTTCAGAATAGGCAAATCCATAGAGACAAAAAGTAGGTTAGTAGTTGTCAGGGGCTGGGGGAGGGAGAAATGGGTAGTGACTGCCTATGTGTGTGGGTTTCTTTTTAGGGTGATGAAAATGTCCTAAAATTACGTAGTGGTAATGGTCATATAACTCTGGGAATATACTAAAACCCACTAAATTATACATTTTAAAAGGGTGAATTGTATGATGTGTGAATTATATCTCAGTAAAGCTGTTATTAAAAAAGAGTAGGGCTGGGCTGGGGCCATGACCACCATCTTCACAGACATCAAGGAGTCCAGCACCATGTTATTGAAGGTATCCTGAAATGACTGCCTGATTAGCAACGGCTGTACAAGGGTGACCCGCTCCTGGTGATGGCAAGACGAAGCATGAGTTTGGCTTCCCCAGCCACAGGCCACAGCTACAGTGGGGCTGGCTTTACAGGTTGGGTCAGAGACACCTTTGAGGCCCTGCACATCGACCCCTTCTTCAGCCTGCCAATGCTGCCTGATGCGATGAATCCCCAGGACTCAGGAAGCAGCACCAATAAATAAGCCTTCCAGTGAAGACCTTTGACCTACCCCAGAGAGGCCTCAATAAAAGAGAATTGGGTATCTAAAGAAATAAGTAAATAAATAAAAGAGTCATCCATTCTGACCTAAGAGTTTAAATCTCTTGGGCTTTGGAGAAGAGTCAGCAGGGATCACAAAGAATAAGAATGAGCCATCAGACCCTTGAAGCAGGTTGTTCATGTTAGTAAATAATGTGTGTGTGTGTGTGCACGCAAACTAATTCACAAGTCCACAAGTGGCTGTCTCATTTTTCTTTCCATGTATTCCAAATGTGAGCTAGTCCAAATCCAGCTTGGGCAGGGTCCACCTGATTCTGCAGAGTGCTCCACAACTTGCCCTAGCTTCTGCTAGCTGCCTGCCGGTAAAGAAACCTCAGGGATACCTTGGGCTCTTGTTCCATATGGCTCAGGAATCTTTGAGAAACATCTGCTCTTCGTTATAGCCCCTTGTTATCTAGGACTCACTCTCTGCTGGAGCACAATTTTGAGTGACAGACACTGTTTTGTCTTCAAAATGGCCTTTCTCTTAGGTTCTCACCCATGGTCTTTAAGTCAAGCTGTGAGCCATGATGCCATTAAAATGAGAGGCTTCCTTGGAAGCCGCCAGTGCTGTGCTGGTAAACTAGCTCTCTGGAAAACAGATTAAGTAACTAGGAAATGGCAGAGCCAGACAGGACTAGAGCCTCTGTCGCTCGGACCCCAAAGCAGGTGCTTTTAATCACTGAACTGCTCATAGGATGCATTAGTTCATAAGTTTCCTTACTGAAAGGTCTTCAGAAAGGAAATAGCTCAAGCCGTGAGACACTTTGGACTAAATTAAACTGAGAAAGTGGAAGTCATTCTAAA